CCAGGGGGAGGGGGTGGGAAGGGATAAGCTGGGAGTTTGAGATTTGTAGATACTGACAGACATATATAGAATAGATGAACAAGTTTATACTGTATAGCACAGGGAAATATGTACAAGATCTTGTAGTAGCTCACAGTGAAAAAGAATATGAAAATGAATATATATATATTCATGTATGACTGAAAAATTGTGCCGTACACCAGAAATTGAGACAACATTGCATACTGACTATAACTCAATAAAAAAAGATAAAATTAATATCCATATTCATGAATAACCAATGGAATATTATTCAGCCTTAAAAAATGAAGGAAATCCTGTCACTTGCTATCACATAGGTCAAACTTGAGAACATTAAGTGAAATAAACCAGTCACAAAGGGACAAATCCACAAATGATTCCACTTATAAAAGGCACCTAACATAGTCAAACTCATAGAAAACAGAACAGTGTTTGCCAGAGGCTGAGGGGAGGGAGAAACGGGAATTATTGTTTAATGGGCACAGGGTTCCAGTTTGGCAAGATGAAAAAAGTACTGTGCATGGATGTTGGTGATGGTCACACAACAATATGAATGTATTTAATGCCACTGAAATACACATTTAAAAATGGTTAAGATGGAACTGCCCTCAGAAGGAGAATCAAGTGAGCACCTGACTTCACTGCTGACCTGAAGAGAGAGCCGGCTTGCCGCAGCACCAGGCAGACTCCCTAGGTCCGAAGTGACTCAATGCGGGCTCCCAAGAACACAGCCTCTCCCCAGCTCCGGCTCCTACTGCCTCAGAGACCTCGGCAGCCTCCAAGCAGGGCTCCCTGGGGGCTCCTAGATAACCAGGCCCCCTCTCACCTGGCGCTTGCTGGCTCCAGCCGCCTGAGGAGTCTCCCGTGACACCAGGCCAACAACGGCTTTCCGTGAATCAAGAAACTGGCTCACCCTGCGTCTCCCCACCCTAGGCCTCCCCACACGCCTCGCCCCTTGTGTACCTGCCACTCAAGCCGCCTCAGGTGGCTCCTTGGCTCCAGGCTCTCAGCAGGCTCCAGGGAATCCAGGCGTCCTGTTCAGCCAGGAGCCGGCCAGCTCCAGGGACCTTAGGCGGCTCCACGGCACCAAATCCACGGAGGGCTTCCGCCAGCCAGTCGGCTCACCGAGATGCCTGCCGGCCCGCGAGGCCCCGCGCGTCTCGCACGGACTAGGCGGAGTCCACGAGACCAGGCCTCCGCAGGTTTCCGCAATCCCGCAATCCTGAGAACTTGGTCTCCCAACCGCGCCTGCGCATGCACGCGGCTCCCGCAGCCCCGAGCAGTTCCGGATGCGGCCCGAGGCATCTCCCAGCATAAAGCCAACCCAGAAAAGCACAACATCACCATATGGATTGGAGTCGAGAGAGGGCATAATCAGAAGAACCCACTGGTATTATAGAGCAATGGTTTGAAAATTCTTGGAGGTTAGGGCATGACCCCCCTCCCCCCAGAGGACTGTCTAACCCTTACCTGTGGGTGTGATGAAAGCTATGGGTGCCAGAGATGATGGCAGAATGAGTGGGATAAAGTGCTGAAGATCAGAGGTGGTGGCATGTGGTTGAGAGAGCCAATTCACTAGCTTACAGAGCTTCTCAAGCCCAAGGGTTGGTGGTGGAATTTCATCATCAGTGTATTGAACTCATGTGTTCAACATGAGTGCGCATCACAGCAAATCAACATGATTGGGTCATTCTGGTGATCCAATCTCACACAATCTAGTGAAAGAAATACTGTTAGTCATCAGGAGCAAAAAGTGTGTTAGGCCTCCTTTGTAGAATCTTGCAGCCCTTAGACAATTCCATAAACATGAGTGTCGGAACTCCTTGTGACTTTTAGTGGATCCCATGCATAGGAAGTTTCTTAGAGCCCTGAAGGGAGAAGTGGAGACTGAGGCTCACACAATTTCTGGGCAGGGCTCAAGGAACTCCACTCATATATCACTACCAGTTTCAGCTGTTCCTAGGCAATGGGGGAAACCTTCCTTTGAAAAAGCAAAACATGGGAACCCCCTAAGGAATGGGGCCAGGGGCAGGGCCACTGCCTGTATCTAAGGACAGTACTTCTTTTATGCTAGTACAGAGTTTCTAGCCTCAGCACTAGTGACTTTTTAGTTGAATAATCCTTTTCTGTGGGGGACTGTCCCATGCGTTGTGGGATGTTAATCAGATCCCTGACCTCTACTCACTGGATACCAGTGGTATCCCTCTCTTCCCAAATGTGACAGCCAAACATGTTTCCAGACATTATCAAGTGTCTTCTGGGGAAGTAAAATCAACCTTGATTGAAGGGGAAAAAATGGTTCAGATGGCAAATTTTATGTTATGTATATTTCACCACAATTTAAAAAATAATAAAACAATTTGAGAAAACCCCTAGGTCAGTGATAAGCACACAGTAGGTGCTCAATAAATATTCAGTCCCATTTTACCACTCATTCATGTGATGCTGCCTTGGGGAGCATGGGGAATAAATCTCGCCCCATGTTAAAAGAATACCAAATCTCCTGAAGAGGAAATGTTTCTGGGAGTAGGAAACAGAAGGTGGCCTTCGCAGGAGAGCCCTGGGCACCCCTTCTGTCCATCCAAACCTCCTTCAGAGCAGCTCCCGCACGTGGGCGTGGCAGGTAGGCTTGCGTGATGACCTGCGTCAAAGGAAGTATCATGACGCCCCCACGTAACAAATACGATATTTTCCTCTATTAGACAGAAAGGACATGGGCGGGAGCGTAAAGCAAGGACTGAATGCTGTGGCGCTTTCACACAGTCCCCGCCTCGAAGAATCCCCAGCCCGGGGCTTCTGACTCTTGCAGCGCCTTAACTCCTCCCTCCTCCTCCCTTTGCCCCTCCCACTTTCCCCTCCCTTCACCCTCCTCCCTCTCAGACTCGCCTTTGACGGGAAATCGAAAGTGAAATAAGGAGCCAGCTGCTGAGTCCTCTGAAGAGGTAAGTGAACTTGCCTAGATCGAGATACCCCAGCCCTCCTTGAGGGACCGCTCTACCCTGCCCCAGATCTGAAAAGCCCCCTCCAACCAGTTTCCGCCCCTAGAGCCTTTGGTCTCAGTTTTCCCGCAGCAGGGCCCCCTCAACCCTAACCCAGCAGTTCTTCCGGTGCTGCAGGTTTGCCTGAGGGGAAGCTAGGCTGTGAACTTGACTTCCAGGTGCCCCAGAAGGAGCTAGGCTGCCCTGCTGCTGGCACCTGAGCCAGGACAAGAGGCCTGGGGAACCCAGGAGAACTAGCACTGAAGGCAGCCTAGCTTGGAGGATGGTCCAGAGGAACCCAGTGTGGGGTAGACCTGCAATCTTCAAGACTTCTATCCCCGAAAGTACCCCCTGGAGGTGAAAGGGGCAGGGTTGCTTAGGATGTTAGAAATGTATGGATCTATGCCCTGGGGGAAACGAAGACAGGTACCAGGTTCAGAGTAGTTGAGAGAAGAGCCCAGGGTGTACTTAATCACCCACACATTCATGTGCGTATACACATATGTATATACATATACACATATATGCCCATACAGATATACATATGTACTTATGAGAATATATAAGAAAAAATATAAATATTCTTATGTATATATTCATATGTGTATATGTGTGAGTATATATATATTTTTTTGCCATTATTGCAAAGATCAATGAAGATGTAGATGAAGTGTCTAGCACCTGACACATGGAAGGTACATGGTAAATGGTCACTATTATTAGGATTAGCTTCTCAAGAAAGTGGAGGACTGGTGGCCTGAGATGGAAGATTGGTGGGTATAGCCTGGGCATGAGGGTTTAAGCAGAGATGGACATGATGAAAGTAGGATTGTAACAGCTTCATCTCAGCTTCTCAGCAATTTTCGCTGTCTCGTTTGGGGACTCAGTTTCTCCTTCTGTCTGATCAGTGGACCAGACTGTGACGGAGGAGCTTGTGTTATTCAGGTTGATGTCCTTGTCTTTTCTTGTTTTCACTCCCTCCTGGTTTCCTTTGAATTGTTTTGTTTGCTCTTACCACTCTTCTCTCCTCCTTTCCTTTTCTCCTCTCCCCACTGGGCCCTTGCAAGATCTCCCCAGTGCTGCTTAATAGGTACATTACCCCCATGGCCTCAGCAGCGCCCTTGGCGATGATGTGGGAGGAGGTCACGTGCCCTATCTGCCTGGATACCATGGTGGAGCCCGTGAACATTGAATGTGGTCACAGCTTCTGCCGAGAATGCATCTCTGAGGTTGGGAAAAATGGGGGCAGCGTCTGTCCAGTGTGCCGGCTCCGCTTCCTGCTCAGGAACCTCCGGCCCAATAGGCAGTTGGCCAACGTAGTGGACAACCTTAAACAAATGAGCCAGGGTGCCAAGGAGGGCACACAGGGAGAGCTGTGTGCGGTGCACAGAGAGAGACTTCACCTGTTCTGCGAGGCAGATGGGAAGGCCCTTTGCTGGGTGTGTTCCCAATCCCGGAAACACCGTGACCACCCCATGGTCCCTGTGGAGGAGGCTGCTCGTGAGTACCAGGTGAGGCCTTAGCACGGAAGCACAAACAGGTAGAAAGGAGATGGGGCCCTGATGACTGCTTTGTCACTCAGAGCTGGGGATGGGAGAGAGTCATCCGTGGGGTTGAGGGGTTGAGGAAAGAAAGTGTGTCTCCTGCCTTCTATGTCTAATTTAAGGGGAGAATTGCAACCTCAGCACAATTTTTTCATTCCCCAAGATCAGCGGATATGTTATGGGAAGATGCTGTAAGGATCGTGTTTCTTTGTGGCCTCCTGGAATGAGTAGCATCCCCTCACCACCCCTCCCACCCCTTCCACCCCAGTGGTGTGGCTTTGTTTTGTAATAAATATCAGACTTTTTCCAAAATCTTCCCATCCACAGAATTCCTACCCCAGTCAGACTGGAGTCCTCCCTCCTCCTCTGCACTCACGCTTTTCAAGGAACCAGTATAATCTTCCCCCACCTCACACCACCCTATTCTACTTCTTGGTCTGACGGGGCTTAACCTGCTACCTTTCTCTGCAGGAGAAGCTCCAGGTGGCATTAGAGAAACTAAAAAATGGGCAGCAGTTGGCTGAGAAGTTGGAAGTGGATGTTTCAATGAAGAGAGCAGCCTGGAAGGCAAGAGTCACGTCCCAAAGGGAACATGAGATCAGAAGCCTGGGGAGGGTCCAGGGTCCTGGACTCAAGAAAGCCCTAACCATAGCAATGCCTGTCTGAGAAGAGTCCCTATCTCTCACTCTCCAAGAACCAGCCATCCCCTAGGTCTTCCGATAGAGGGGAATAAAAGGGTGGCACTCAAAGAGAGTTCCAATTAGACACAAAGATCAAGAGTCTTAGGAGAAGGTGCTGAGGGACAAGACATACCCTAAAGCTCCTGCTCCTTGAGCCCAGTCTTAGGGGATGACAGCACCAGTTCCTCAATATCTGGGACAGAGGAATCTAAGGAGAGATGCCCAATGGCTAGGCCTGTCAGGAAATGACGAGGGCTGCAAGGAACAGACTTAAGGGAACCATCAAGACCTTAAGGTAGGAAAACCAGTCCAACAGGTGGTTGCTGGACCTTGTCCAGATCACTGGTCACAAGTGTAATGGGGATCTACAGCTTGTTTTGCACCAAAGATTAGGAGGTGGGGTGGGTCAGGGACTAGAGAAGAGTGCAAGGAGATCATTGACCAGGTGATCCCAGAAGAGGAAGATTTGGGAGTGGGGAAGGGTGAATCAGGCTGTGGTAGCAAAAGGGGTCATCCCATGTCATTGAATGACCCTCCAGTCACAAGCAGGAGAGGCCAAGCAAAGAATACACTCCTTTTCCCCAGGACTTAGGAATGGTGTTGTGAGCCTGTCTTTGTGACATTGTTGGGGGTGGAGGCAGGTGTTTCTGCTACTTACTGAGATATGAAGACAAAGGGGCAGGTCTGTGTGGTGACTTAAAGGACGCGGAGGAAGTCTCTGATACCATAGGCTGATGCAGCTGTGGTTGTAGGGCAGCTGTGGTGCACCCCCCACACCAGTCCCATTTCCCTCTTAGGCCCAGAAGCCTCACCCACCAGCCTCCCCAGCAAAACTGTGTGGGTGTGGGTGTGGGTGTGTCTCGTGCTCATGCGCATTTATTCCCAGAGGGAGCCAAGCGGTGCATCTACAAGGAATAGAAATAGATAGGAACACCTCCTCTCCCAAAGCTTAGGAGATTTTGATTTAAAAAAAAAAAAAACACCTCTTTCTTTCCATGGACACCAAAGGGGAAGGTTGAGGCACACAAATTGAGGATTCATGAAGAGTTTGTGAGGCAGAAAAACTTCCTGGCAGAAGAGGAGCAGAGGCAACTGCAGAAGCTGGAGGAGGATGAGAGGGAACAGCTGAGAGTCCTGGGGGCGACAGAGGCCAGGCTGGCCCAGCAGAGCCAGATCCTGCAGGAGCTGATCACAGAGCTGCAGAGGAGGAGTCGGGGCTCAGCGCTGGAGCTGCTGCAGGTGAGGCCTGAGGACAGGCTCTGCTCTGAGATTCGGGCAGTAACTGAAAAAAGCCAGAGCTCCTAGGGGTTACCTTAAGAGCACACAGAAACTCAGTCCCTGGAATTGTCTTAAGTAGAACAGACTAGAATTTGGACCCATGAGTGGGTTGCACTCGAGGCATGAAAAAGTACAAATTTAGGAAGGAATATTCCACGCAGAAATCAAAAGAAATGGACATCTCTGGAAGGTGCTTGCTCTAACACGTACCAGATCCATGACCTAGAGAAAGTTCCTTAATCTTTCTGAAGGTCAGGTTTCTCCTGTGCTAAATGTATATTATAATATTACATATCTCAAAAGGGTTTTGTAAGGATTAAATAAAAGAATCCAGTAAGGCTCTTAGATGAGTGTTTGGCCATGGGAAGATTTTCATAAATGTAACATAACTAAAAACACTGAATAGAAAATTAAAAGACAGCAGCCCAGCCCCAGCCCTGCCATAAATTTCTCTCTGTAACCCCAAGTCATTTTCCTTTCCTCAACCTAATTTCTCCATCTGTGAAACAGGGGTAGTGGGCTCAATGACAAGGGTTCTCCAAACTTTAGTCATAAATTACCATCTTTACACTTTCTGCTATTTCTGTGAACTACCCAAATAATTTTAGCATGTTATTTTTTTCTTTAAATTATCTCACGATTTTACCTGAATAAATAGACTTTAAAAGGAAATTTGTCCCAAGCAATAGCAGCCAAGAAATTATGTGTTGATGTTACTATTTTTCCTAACTTATTTCATAACAGTAATATTAATGACTGCAAATTCTTAAGTAGCACATATGCCAGTGTTCAGTCCCTCGTGACTATGCAATGAGGTGGATGCTACTATTATATTATTCTTATTTCATCGATGAGAAAACTAAGGTGCAGAGATGTTAAGAGATTTAGTGAGAGACTCAAACTAAAACTCTGAACCAAGTTCACCAGAATAGTAAGAGGTAAAGCTAAGACTAAAATAAGCACATAATTATTTTTACAAATTCAGTGATGTGTTTTCCCACTTACAATCATCTCACATCCGCCGATGACAGGCGTTTGCTGGCCTCACTTTGGGAAACAATGGACGAGATGGTCTCAGAAGTCCCTTCTGCTGGGACGTTCTGTGGCTCCTCTTTTCCCCACATCTTTCCACTGTCTCTCAGTCAGATGAGGTCATGAGACCATTGCTTTCTGGTTTGTGCACAAAAGCTAATGGGGTGACGTGACTTCTCAGGATCTCTTCTTCCCATTGTCTAAATCTTGCTTCTGCCCAACATCGAGCAGAGCTTTCTCAGACATGTTTGATAGGGCCTAGGAGCCTACCCACTCCCGAGTAAGGACCCTCAACCCCTGCAACAGTATATTTGCAGATGTTTCAGTATCACATCCCTGTTGTGACATGGGACAGAGCTTTAACTAGTCAGCCCTTCCTCCCCGGACAGTGCGTCCCCACAGCGAGAGCAGGTTCTGTGCATCCTGACTTGGCCATTCTTTCTCCGTGACTGTCTCTGGGCCTCAGCCAGGCTGCGCTATTTGCTCCTTTCCACTCTCCCACCCGCCCCCACCAAGGAGCCGGTCCTTTTCATATTTTTTCTGAGTCACCTCCCTTCCTCTAGCTATAGGTCACACGCATGCTAGGTTTCTGCTTACCTTACAAGCACCCCCATGTCCCTTTTGTTCCAAGCTGGTCAGAAACGTCTTTTGGGCCTTGGCACAGAGGAATGCGGCAGAGCACTGTCCGTGCACCTCAGGGTTGTATCATGTCACCACAGGACTGAAGTCTCAACTATAAAACCAGTGTCTCCAGAACTTACCCTGTGTCTCTTTTCTCCTCAGGAGGTGAAAAGTGTCCTGGAAAGGTAAGGAGAGGTTTTCTTTGTTAGAGGAGGGGTTGGCAGGAAGCATATATACCTGTGAAAAAAGATTTCTGAGTTAGGAAACATCCACTGAAGTTTTCCCCATCCTCCTCCTTGTCCTCGAAGACCCAATCCTCCATCAAATATTTGCTGGTCTCAGAAGGCTAATTCCTGGACATCTCAATTGGTGAGCTGCCCAAAGTAATTGGATTGTAACATCTTCACAATGCGAAGTTAGACAAACTGGGGAGTTCCAAGCCTCCAAACCACTGGGACTTCTTTAAAAAGAATCTAACCAGTTTCAAACCTCCCAGAAAGAGCCATGGGGAAGACCCACGGCACAGGTGAGACTTCTTGAGGTTCCTCACAGCAGTGATTTAGACGATATCAGACGACTTGCCTGTTAAATGAAACAGAATGTGCTTGCGGGCTGATCTTAGGTTTGGAGAGGAGGTACAGACTGTCCATGTGCTGCAGAGGCTCATGTAACCAGGCTTAGAGAGAAACGGAACCCTACTTCCTTTTGCCCTCCATCCCCAGGATCCTAACACAAGAGGTGTTTGCAAATTTGCACTGAATTAAATCTGTCCTGAACAAGGGTGGGTACAGCAACAGGATTTGGGAAGGGTGATGTAGGTGTTGGATATAGAGTCTCTAACTCTTTTTCCCCCAGGAGTGAGAACTGGAACCTGGAGAAGCTAGACATTGTCTCCCCAGACATAGAGAGTGTGTGCTGTGTGCCCGGGCTGAAAAAGATGCTGAGGATGCATGGTGGTGAGGCCAGCACCAGGGCTGTGGGTCTGACCTGCTGGGGAGCAGAAGGGGATAATGAGGGTGCGCAGTGCATCCCAGAGTCGGGTAGAGGTGACAGGCCACAGTAGGTGGGGCAGGGGTGGAAATATCCCAAAGGTCAGGGCAAGGGTTGGAGTTGGCTGGGCAGTCATTTCCTCACACAGTGAGGCTCAGGATCACCCCTTCATCCTCATGTCCCCACCACAGGCACAGGATTACTGACTTCCCCACACTCTTCTGGTCCTCTCTCTGCAGTACACATCACACTGGATCCATGTACAGCCAACCCATGGCTCATCCTTTCAGAGAATCGGAGAGAAGTGAGGTTTGGAGACATCCAGCAGAAGGTGCCTGAAAATGAGGAAAGATTTGATACTTACCCCATGGTCCTGGGTTTCCAGTGCTTTGACTCCGGAAAACTTTACTGGGAGGTAGATGTGACAGGAAAGGAGGCCTGGGACCTGGGGGTCTGTAGAGACTCTGTGCGGAGGAAGGGGCATTTTATGCTCAACCCCAGCAATGGCTTCTGGACAATCTGGCTATGGAACAAACATAAGTATGAAGCTGGCACCTGCCCCTCTACTCCCCTCCACCTTCAGGTGCCTCCATGCCGAGTTGGGGTCTTTCTGGACTATGAGGCCAGCACTGTCTCCTTCTACAATATCACTGACCACGGCTCCCTCATCTACACCTTCTCTGAATGTGCCTTCGCTGGACCTTTAAGGCCCTTCTTCAATCCTGGTTTCAATGATGGAGGAAAAAATGCGGCCCCTCTGATCCTCTGTCCCCTGAGGATGGGCTGATAGGGACCCAGAGACTGTCAATGGCTCTCTCTGGACACCAACACACCTCTATTGGTTCCCCTTCTCAGCCACTAGCCCTGCCTCATTTGCCCATGACCTCTGAACCATCTTTTTCTCTGCAGAGGTGTCAGGATGCCAGCCAGCCAACTTTAGCAGGGAGATCACTGGAATTCTATGTCAAATGACCTTCACCACCAATATTCCTGCCCTACACTGCTTTATGACTCCCTCCATGAAACATGCTACTTGTAGATAGCCCCCAAACCCATCTGGATCAATAAAAACATGCTTCTGCCGTTTTTATGCGACTCAAGTTTTGTTTTCTCCATCTCTAGGCCTTTGGTCAGATCTCTACTCTATATCTTGCAAAGGACTTCCTAAATAAACTGGGCCTCAACCTGTCCTGTCTTTCCTTGCCTCGTACACGTCTAGGATTATCTTTCCAGCATACACCCATCTGATCATGAGTGGCTCCACATGCCTGTAGAAAAACATATTTTAAAACAAAGGCTGAATTCTGCAGGCCTTAGATTGCCATGTTAAATATCCAGCCTGCTGTGCTCCCCCATTTCCACCATTACTCCCAACCACATCTTGTTGATAGCGGAGTTGGTTAAAGGGTATATTGATATAAATGGCAGGGGTGATGGTATTTTGATGTGCCAACTTGCCTAGGCTATAAGCCCCCAGTTTTTCAGTCAAACACTAATCCCAATGTTGCTGTAAAGATGTTTTGTAGATGTCATCAAAGTACACAATCATTTGACTTTAAACAGGGGAGACTGTCCTTGATAAGCAGGGTGGGCCTAATGTTCAATCAGGTGAAAGGCCTTGAGAGCAGAACTGAGACTTCCCTGAAGTCGAAGGTATTCCACTTATAAAGGGCAGCTTCAGCCCATGCCCGAGAGCCCCAGCTTGTCCTTCCTGAGAGCCTGCCTTGTGGGTTTACAACTTGCCTTGCCCGCCTTCACAGTTGCATAAGCGAATTCCTTGCAATAAATAAATAAATCTCTTAATGTTTATCTCCTGCTAGTTCTCCTTCTCCAGTTGAACCCTGATTGGTATGAAAGCCAGGACTGAGGTAACAGCATCACCTGGTTTCAGCACTTTCTTGAGTTTAAGCTTTTAAGGTTGGAGCAATGAAGATCTACACCTGAGCAATAGTGGGCTGTGTGAGAGCCACTACCCTTCCAGGAACCCTGATTCCTCACTGAAAATAGAATCTCAGATTTCCCTTAGCACATCTACTAAATATTTCATGAAAAACTTAGATACTATACAAAGATGTCAGTGACCTTTAAAAGACCTTATTGGTAAAAGAGTTATTTCTAGAGATAAGTAATGGTCTATCTTAACACTGGACGAAAGAAGATACTTGAAAGATAAAAGGAAGAGTATCCTTAGGCAAGATGATGACATTACACAGCTAAACCAGTATAAGCTGGCAAAGTCAACCAGTGCTTTGGTTGATACACTGGAGGAAGAATATGGAGAACTCAGTCCTATATGAATGGAATGTACTGGCAAGGGTTGGATTCATATGTATCCAATGTGGGTCATGGAGAAATACTTTTTAGTAGAAGGGTAAGTTATGAAACCAGCTTTTCTGCTTCTCTGTGTCTCTGCTTTGGGGTTGACCAATGTAAATGATTTTTTTTTCTCCTACAATTGATATACTGGTGAGAGGAGACTACCATAATGATATAAACTTAAATACTCTCATTTCTCAAAAAGTATCTTGGCATACTGGGTTACCCTGATACTTAGAGTTGTACATTACATAGATGACATACTACCATCCCCTTGGTCTCCACCAAAAGGTATTAAATAGTAGATATTTCATAGTATCTCAACTTTTATCCCCACCAATAATTACTAACAAGTCTTCCAGGTACACCCCAGCATGGCACACAAAAATTCTCTTGAGAAATGAAAGAAGATTATACCAGCAGCAATTCTAATTTTGATTAATACTGTCCTTTAAAATTCAAATAAGGCCTACTGACTTTTGTGATCTCCTTTGATTCTACAACTTCCTTTTGAATTACAAGCAGTACTTATTACACCAAAATTTTAAGGCTAAACGAGCTAAGGCAGAAAGAAGTTAAAAATGTACCCACTGCTGTCAACTGAGAGGGGCTGAAGAGGGATTCGAGGAGATAAGCTGCCCAACCGGAAAAATGTGTGAGGAGCCGCCATACCACAAAACAAACTGCGCGAGGAGCCGGCATGGAGCGAAACAGCACTTTATCCTAGTTCAACGAGATGGCGCGCGCCCGCGTGGCGCACTTGTCCTGCTTCTCTCTATCCTGCGCGCACATGCTCATTCCTTTGTTCATACTACTTACATAATGCTACTAGCGCATGCGTACCTTTACTTTCTTCGTTCATAAGGCTTACATAACTGGCGCATGCGTACATTTACCTCTTACTTCATACACAGGCGAGTTGTGACCTTTGACCTGGGTCCCACGGCCTACTCACTTAACTAATTACTCTGCGTGAAGTATATTCCAGATTCTGCTAATATTTTGTATTGCTTAGTTCTATCTATGGTAAAAGTATAGTCAAGAAATGTAAAGATTATGGTGCCCCTTCCTTTTTTACTTATGAAACTATCTTATATTTAAATTTTTCCAGCTTTATTATGGTGTAATTAACAAATAAAAATTGTGTCTAAAAAGGTGTACACTTAAATATATATATACCTGTGAAATGATTAATTCAATCAAGCTAATTAACAGATTCATCACCTCACATAGTTACTGTTTTGTATGTACAGCAAGAACACTTAACATCAACTCTCAGCAAATTTCAAATATACAATCCCATATTTTAACTATAATCACCATACTGTACATTAGGTCCCCAAACTGAAAGTTTGTACCCTTCAACCAGCATCTCCCTATTTCCCCTACCCCTGTGCCTCTGGCAACCACCATTCTGCTCTCTCCTATGAGTTCAATTTTTTTGGATTCCACATAGAAGAGAAATTATGCAGTATTTGTCCTTCCGTGTCTGACTTATTTCACTTAGTATAATACACTCCAGGCTCAACCATGTTGTCACAAATGGCAGGATTCCCTTCTTTTTATGGTTGAATAACATTCCATTGTGTATATGCACCACATTTTCTTTTTTTCTTCCAACTTTATTGAGGTATAATTGACATAACATTTTGTAACTTTAAGGTGTAAAATGCAATGATTTCATATACATATATATTGCTAAATGATTACCACAATAAGGTTAGTTAACACATCCATCACCTCATAGTTACATTTGCATTTCTGGTGAGAACTTTTAAGATCTACTCTCTTAAGACTTCCAAATACACAATACAGTACTATTAACTCTTGTCATTATGCTGTACATTGCATTCTCAAAACATATTTTATAACTGGAATTTTATACCCTTGACCACCTTCAGTCATTTCCCTCACCTGCATCCCTCATGTCTGGCAGCCACCAATCTATTCTCTGTTTCTATGAGTTTGATTTTTTAGATTCCACCTACAAATGAGATCATACAGTATTTGTCTTTCTCTAACTTATTTCACATAGTGTAATGTTTTCAAGACTCATCCACGTTGTCACGAATGGCAAGATTTCCTTATATGGCTGACTAGCATATATATATTACATTTTATGTTTGTGTATAGCACGTTTTATTTATCCATTCTTCTTTCAATGAACACTAAGGTTGTTTCCATCTCTTGGCTATTGTAAATAATGCTGCAGTGAACATGGGGGTGCAGATATCTCTTTGAGACGGTGATTTCATTGTTTTCAGAATTGGAATTCCAGAAGTGGAATTTCTGAATCATATGGTAGTTCTATTTTTAATTTTTTGAGGAACCTCCATACTGTTTGCCATAGTGGCTGCACAGATTTACATTCCACCAACAGTGTACAATGGTTCCTCTTTTTTCCATATCCTTGCCAACACTTGTTATCTCTTATCTTTTTGATAATAGACATTCTAACAGGTGTGAAGTGATATCTCATTGTGGTTTTGATTCACATTTATCTGATAATTAGTGATATTGAGAATCTTTTCATCTTCCTATTGGCCATGTGTATGTCTTCTTCGAAAAATCTCTGTTCAGGTCCTTTGCCCATTTTTTAATCAGGTTATTTGCTTTTTGTGGGCTTTTTGCTATTGAGCTTTGCTATTGAGTTACATGTACTCCTTACATATTTGAATATTAACCCCTTATCAGATATATGATTTGAAAATATTTTATCCCACTCCATAGGCTGCCTTTCCATTTTGTTGTTGATTGTTTTTCTGTAGAGAAGCTTTTTAGTTTTTTCATTATTAGACAAGATTTTTAGTTTGATGTAGTCTCACTTCTTTATTTTGCTTTTGTTGCCTCTACTTTGATGTGAAATCAAGAAAATCATTGTCAAGACCAATGTCAAGAAGTTTTTTTTTAATATTTTTGTCTAAGATTTTTAGTTTCAGATCTTATATTTAAGCCATTATTCCACTTCAAGTTAATTTTCATCTATGGTATAAGGGTCCAATTTCAATCTTTTGCATGCAAATATCCAGTTTTCCTAAAACTATTTATTAAGAGGCTATTCTTTCCTCACTGAGAATTCTTAATACCCTTGTCAAAGAATGCATGGGTTAAATGCATGGGTTTATTTCTAGTTCTCTATTCTGTTCTATGGTTCCATTTCAAATTCAAAATAAAAGTTTATAGATAGACATAGATATAGATTTCTCAAGTCTGTATATGATGAAATTAAATATATATTCTGTCTAGATGCTTTAATTGCAGTGTCCTAGCTAAGCTCATTGTAGGAAATAATTCTTGTTGTTTAATATGATTTAGTTTGGTTTTGATATTCCTATTTTTCAGGACACTATGCATGTGCTAAGAAAAGTCTCTAAGAGGCTAAGTAACTTCAAGATCAAACACATCACTTTTGGTGAAGCCAGGGCTCAAATCTAATCTGATCTGAAAGCTCATGCTCTTTTCTAAACACTGCCCCTCTCAAAGTAACATGGCAATCTATCTTTCAAAATAATGACAGATCACTTTGTTCACAGTCAGTATAATCCTTAGTTCATACATCTCTACAAAGCAGGCAAAAAAAATTGCAAGATTCTACATTGATAAACATATCACCTGTCACATAAACTCAGCAGTATGTCCACCGTGAAGACAGAGTACTAACTACACGCTCGCGAATCTGCCTGGTCTTGATGCCATAGATAATGGGGTTTAGCATAGGAGGGGCTAACATGCAGACATTTGCCAGCAGGATGTGGGTATGGAGAGGAACATGATGCCCAAACCGCTGAGTAATTATGGTAAAAATGCCAGGCAAGTAGAACATGGAAATGACCCCAAGGTGAGAGCCACATGTGCCCAGGGCCTTTTGCCGA